AGTAGTAGTAGTAGTAGTCGTCGTCTGCTAGCAGTAGCAAGTGCTAGTGTTACTGCCAGTGCTGGTGCTAGTGCGAGACCACGGTACTAGCATTGATCAGTACTACTAATCGAAATAGTAATGGTAATAGCTAGTCATTGTAATGGTAACAGTAATCGTACTAGCAGCAGTTGTAGCAGTACTAGTAGCAGAGGCAGTAGTAGCAGTAGTAGTGGTAGTAGCGGTCGTTGTAGTAATTAGTGGTGGTCGTAGTACTGTGGGTGGAGGTAATAGTAGCAATACTACTACTACCACCACTACTACTGCTACTACGACTACCACTACTGCTGCTGCTGCTGCTACTGCTACTGCTACTACTACTACTACTACTACTGCTACTACTACCACTACTACTTCTACTACTGCCACTACGACGACGCCGCCTACTACTGCTACTACTACTACTATTATTAGTATCAGCGCAGCCTAAACCTTGAAAAGAGCCCACGACAAAAGATACAATCTCACCCTTAGCCGAGCGAGAGGCAGCTGCAGCCCCAGCACGGCCGCGAAGCCATGGGACCCCTCCGAGTCTGGACTTTGGAGAAGGCCCTGGCGGGAAGGAAACCGGGACATTGGTTATTGTCTTACAGCTTCGAAGCATTGGTTTGCAAAGCTCATGAAGCGTCATGCTCAGGCCTGTTTGCGAAAGGCCACCTGCTGAAAGGCGTCTAGGAGCATATATGAGCGTCGTCCGCTGTCGGGATAAACTGCTGATGAGGGCACGTCGAGGCGATTCTGTGCCAAGAACTGCCGAGAACCAATGATGCAAGCTGCTTCACGTGTGTTGTGAAGGCACACTTCAATCCAGCCGGAGCTTCAGCAGGAATAAAGGATCCGGCAGGCGCGTCCCGACGTGTTTCTAGCATGTCAAACACGCTCCGGTGCAAGACGAAATGGGTATGTCGTTCAACAGCATGTGGAGCTTGCGAGCTGTGCAGAAGTGTGAAAAGTTCGCTCATGCCAGGTTTGACTACGCTTTGGCACCGGTGCCGGTGTCACAAGTGGTGAGGCATTGAGCACTGAAGCAGACAGATATGGGTGGTTGTCAAAATCATGGTCCCTTTTTGGGTCCTTGTTATAATATGGCACCTATTATTTAGGATACCCCAAAAGGGACCCTAATTTTGACAACTACCCATATGATGTGACACATAGCAAAACCCTGCAGAGCTTCGTGCTGCGTTCAAGATATTGGTTCGTTGATCCCCGAAATGATTGCTTACTTTTGAAGAGTTTCAGAGAAAGTCCAAATTCTCCGAATGTCTCCACCGTTTACATCAGGTCCTTGGTTTGATTAATGTTCCGAAGCCTTGTTAGTGACAGAGGAAGCAAATCGATACCCAGCTTCAAGACCTGTGCTCACTGCTACAACTAGTCCTCTGCCTCTTCCTCCTATACTACTACTACTACTACTACTACTACTACTACCACTACTACTACTACTGCTACTACTACTGCTGACCCTACTACTACTACTACTACTACTACTACTCCTGCTCCTACTACTACTACTACTACTACTACTACTCCTACTACTACTACTCCTGCTCCTACTACTACTACTACTACTACTACTACTACTACTCCTGCTAATACTACTACTACTACTACTACTACTACTACTACTACTACTACTGCCACTACTACCACTACTACCACTCACTACTACCACTACTACCACTACTACTACTACTGCTGCTGCTGCTGCTGCTGCTGCTGCTGCTGCTGCTGCTGCTGCTGCTGCTGCTATTAGTACTAACTTCTACTACCACACTACTGCTACTACTTCTTTTCCCGCTGCTCTTTCCTGCAGCTGCTACTGCTACTCCTGCTACTGCTGCTAGTACTGCTAGTGCTGCTAGTACTGCGACTGCATCGGCTCCTACTCCTACTGTTGCTGCTGTTGCTGGTACTGCAACTGCTGCTGCTGCTCCTGCTCCTGCCCCTGCCCCTGCCCCTGCCCCTGCCCCTGCCCCTGCCCTGCCCTGCCCCTCCCCCTGCCCCTGGTTCTGCCCCTCTGCCCCTCACTGTGCCGCTGCCCCTCTGCCCCTGCCCCTGCCCTGGTTCTGCCCTCTGTCCCTGCTGCCCCTGCCCCTGCCCCTGCTGCCCCTGCTGCCCCTGCCCCTGCCCTGGCCCCTGGCCCCTGCCCCCTGCCCCTGCCCCTCTCCCCTGCCCCTGCCCCTGCCCCTGCCCCTTCCCCCTGCCCCTGCCCCTGCCCCTCCCTGCCCCTGCCCCTGCCCCTGCTACTGTTGCTTTTGACGTCCATATTTATCAGCTCTGTATGTTTCCAAGAGGGCCCCTGGTACTTAGGTTCATGTGACAAATTCATGTGTGCATACAGTCCTGTAGACGATAAGGAGAGCCAAGCATGATACGCTTGTCTAGGGACCGATCGTCGCTCGGATTGTGAAGCATCACCTTCTGAGCACATTTCGATGTAGATCAGGGCTTGTCCTTGCTGGGCTCTGCACTGTCCCGTCCTGGGAGATGGCCGTACTCCATGCGCTACGATTACTCAGCAGAAGTGTGAGAGCCTCTGTTGCACTGACGTCCTTTGTTTAGGCCCTGCATGACAAAAACACAACAGCCTAGTCCAGTGTGTTTCCAACCCCGTGCTGGCTTGTCGAGCGGGACCGTGGAGACTCCGCTTCTTGCGCCAGGCCCCCACTTGTTTCAATTCCACCGCCGAAGAGACGTGGCCGGCCCAACGATGACTCGGCCTGCTGTGACTTCATAGCTTTGGGAAGCTAAGACTTAGCCTTCGGGATCTGATGCCCTCCAAGTCAACAACTCCACTCTCAGGGAAATGGGCTTTCTGCCCAGGTCAGACACCACCAAGCGCTGTGACATCGATTGACTGGTTCCCTCTCCCAGGCCAGGAATGTAGCTGTAAGCGGTGACGCCGACCCCGGTGTTGGTGCATGGACTTGCGTTGCCCAGCCTTCCCGCTCGCTTCCAAAGCAGCAGGGCAGCAAGGAGATACTCACAACCAAGCAGCCCTGCAGGCACCCTGGAAGAAGACTTCTGACACCACTGTCATTTTCCCCTTGTGCACTAGCTAGTGTGCACTAGGTTGCAAGGATTTCCTTTTTGAAGGGACCTCGCGAGATCTCAAGGACTTGGGAGGACCTGGCAGCGAAGACATTTCATTCAGTTTCTGAGCTGCTTTTCCACGGCCGAAGCTGTCTGCTGCCAACGGTACCTGCCTCACCCTAGACACTTTGCCATCATCCTGGGATGTCCCTGGCCATGCACCATGCCCACTGCATAATTGCTTCGGTCGTTGCAAACGCTGTGGACATATCGGCGTGTCCTTTTGCCAAATTAAGGTGTGCCCTAACCAGCGAGGCAAGTTGGGAACTGCCGAGAATGGCAGAAAACCCTGGCGTCGTGCAGCGCGAGTCTGTAAGTTAGTTGATGCATTTTGAAAAATCGACTGGCATCACGGCGGATCGAATCTTTTCGACCTCTTTCGGGAAGTGCATGTCCGTCATATTTCCTGATGTCATTTGTCAAGCTTCGCAGGGTTCTCTGGTGTAGGTCCAAGCTAATTACAAACAGTGGTGTCTAGCAGCACATTGACACGAGAGTTTATGATGTGATGCATGTTGCACTATGACGGACGACGGACTACGTGCAGACATGAGTTTAGCCCCTGACTTGTAGCAAAAGCAAGCTGATGAGAGGAAGAGAGCAAGATTCAGCTGCCCGGTCGTTATTGGGAATTCACTGCTCAGGAGTCCGTATGAACCCGCTCCTACGTTTCATGTGCACGTCTCTCTGTTTAGACGGGATTAGACGGACTTGTGAGCACCGCAATTACTACAGAGCTAGAAGCCAACCTGGCAAGCCAACTTGGGTGATGGCAAATCGTCGTAGCGATGTTTTCCCTCGATTGCTTCGAGATTTTTCACTTGCAGCCAGTGATCTGCAGCTGCCTGTGAAGAGCTCTTTGCAAACAGCCTCCAAGCCCACAGACCCTGAGCAGGTGACCCTGTCTTGCGGAAAAGAATCGAAGCAGGATCTGCTCGAATTCGGAACCGGGCAGGCATGTTGAAGCAATCTGCAAAGGAGAGGTCACCTTCGGCATTCGGAACACGGACGCGGCGCTACGATATGTCGGGGGTTTAAAGGCTAAAGCTTTGACACTCAACGTACTTCCCAGCTATGTTCCCACCATTAAGGGAGGGTGCTGCGGTAGCGCAAGCAAGCGCTCTGAGGCTCTAAGGCCTCGCACTTCGCATTCCAAGAACTTGGTGCTGCCTCTGTGCAGCCTTCCTGCGCCGTTGGCTGCTCCAGGCTGCACCAAGCATCGACAACATGGCCGTGCCGGAAGCGAGGCCTCAGATAGAGCGAGACATTTACCTCTGAGACTGGGGACTCCTGGGGACTAGGGGCAGGGAGCCTTTGCCCAGCATGCCCTTGCAGTGTCTGAGAATTTTGGAAGTGCGTCAGACCCTGTTTGCGGACCGAATCATGGACTTTCTGCAGCTTTCATGTGTACAGAAAGTTGGTGCAGAAAGTTGGTGCAGAGATACCACGAGCAGCAAACTTTCTCGTGGACTACCTGCCTGGACTGCCACGATTCTGCCATCAGCTCCTGCTTGGTTGTGACGACGAGTTTCAAGCATCCTTTTCCTCGGTTTGTGTCTCGGCTGGTCTCCTTCCGCACACTTTTTGTGCTGTACTTAAGCCGGGTTGCCTATTTTCTTTAACCTCCTGCATGGTTCCTCGCTGTTCTTTCGCTTGCACACTGTTTCTGTGTCAGTCCGCTCTTCGACTTACTGACTTCGTTCTGTTTGCTGGCCTGGATTCTTCGGACTTGTTGGCGTCGTCGTTGTGCTCTTTTTGCTTGCTGAAGCAGGCCATGACCCTCCTTGCCGCAGCTCTCTTCAGTTTGCTGTCTTCGACGATTTCGTATTGACAGAAAATTCACCGAGCTCACGTACCGAGCAGCTAACAAGCCGACATCCCACTGGTGAGCCGTGAGTCGAGATGTTCCGAAGCCGATTGTCTCAACCTCACATCTCGGGCAGGTCTCTTCTGGCAGAGTTTCATCAAACGGCGTCGCCCCACATCTCTGGCCGCGCGTGTTGGCAAAAGTGAGCTGTGCACCGGGAGAAGCAGTTTGGGATGCTTTCCATACCGCACGCGTCGAATGAGGATGCCAGTGCATAAACGTCTCCCTGCGGGTCGCAGAGGAGCTCATGGAACGCCTTGGCCAGCAAGCCCTCCGACGCTGCCGGGAGCATGATCCGCAGAATTGCGCCAGGCCCAGTGACCATCGGCAAGTGCCGGCTTGGTTCGTGTGGGCAAGACCAGATGTGCTGCCAAGCCCTGCAGAGCCGATGGCCTGGGGCGGAATCGACACATTTGACACCGGGCTCCGCAAGACTCCCGAGGTGCAAACACCATGCGAGCACACGGCGTGCCGGCATCCTGTCGACTTTGACACGTTGCTCTGCTCCAGGCCTGGTGCGAGCTTGGGAAGTCGTCCCGTGACCCAGGCCTGTGGTTGGGGGCAGCCCGGTGATCGATGCCTCATCGAAGAGGGCCACGGAGGTTGCCACCAGCCAGGAAGCTTGCAGCCAGATGTGCGCTGCCTGGTTAGGTTATCAGCGAGTTTGCCTGTCAGTCCCTCGCCAACACAGGCAGCGGGCATCATGCTCTCTTACCAGGTGATGAGACGCCGTAGGATTTGCTTGCTCTTTCTGCGCGGCTCATGATACACGAATACGCGAGTGAAGTTTGCTTCCAGGCCATGCCGTTACGAGCCACCAAAGAAAAAACATTTGCCCGCAGGCTGGTCGCTGACAAATTCGAGCGCCACAGGCCTCATGTTCGGCGCATAGGGAGGAGGGAAGAGCTGAAATCTACCGTCTTCAGCTTTAGACGTAGCGGCCGTGGGAGGCCATGACTTGCTCAGCTCAGCCGAGGCTCGGGCCAAAGGGCAGTCGCGATGTGCGTGGAAGCGATTGGGAGCTTTCATGAGGTTTCATGGTGTTGTCCTGGAACTAAGCCTTGGAGTCACGTAGATACTCTCTAGGTTGATGCATGCAGGTCCTGTTTCCACGAGCCGCATAGTGGCCCTGGCGTGGATATACTATAGGGAAGTGAAATTTCAGATGCGTTATGTGTGTGGGGTTGTTTTTGGGGGGAACGCGGAGCCCAGCCACGTTGCTGCGAGCATCGTGGATTCTTTCAGATTCGCTGGACTCCCCCATCCCCCCCTCCAAAAGAAATGTCAGATGAAGGATGCAGCAGCACTTCTTTGGAGTTCTTGGATGTTTCGGACAGGTTCAAATCGGAAGTCTCATCAGCCGCTTCGACTCGTCGGACCATTCGGAGAAGGAGCTGTGCTGTGATAGGATGTGGCTGAAATGCCAGTCTGTCTTGGCCACGTCAGCTCATGCATCCGACCGTGGCATGAATATGGAGTGTGTCGGGAACCGATCCAACATCGAATGGACAGAAACACAAATCTCCTGAAGCGTAAGTGTGACCTGAGACTTGGAACCGGAGCCTGGAGTTTGCCAGGAACTGCTGGAGTTCTCCATGGGGCTTTTGGGTTTCTTCTGGGCCTTTGCCTTCCTCGAGGTGCCTCTTGAAGGCGTAGCCTCGCAAATGAAGACGCTGATGAGGCATTTGTCGAGTTGCGGTAGTCATCTTCTACCTGAGGGGTATGCCTTGCAGTCTCAGTTGATCTCCCGCTCAGAAGCCTCTTGATAGGTCCCAGAAGAAAGGGCAGGGCTTACCTTGACGCGACACTTCGACCAGTGCCTTTTCGGCAGGTCAGCTGTGCACTCCATTCACGTGGACGGGCGCTTTTGACAGAGATCGGACAGATCCTGGACAGGAGTCTGCACAAGCGAGATGAGAGGGGTCATGCGCTAGCTGTGGTTCAGAAATGTTCAGAAGGCGAGGATGGCGATCCGTGCAGAGCCGAAGCCACATAGCCAAAGGGTGCTGGATGATGCAGGCTGCTGGGTTCAAGAGAGCAGGTTTTTGACCCTCTCTTGTTGGAACTGGCGGATGGTGTTTACCGTTTACTTATAGGGATATCAGGACATGTCGGCACATCTATGTTTGATGTCTCGTATCGTATGGCCGGCCACAGGAGGCGGCGGGTGGCACGAGCAGGCGCGACTCGCCTCCCGTTGCCCATTGCCTTGCGAAGTCAGAATGTTTCAACTGTCGGCCGTCACAAGGCGTGGGAAGGCAGCCGGTCGCAGCAGGCTCGTCGGAAGCCAGGCACGGATGCCTCAATCTTTATGGCTTTCCAGGATTAACCCATGCTCCCGAAGACCGATAAGACCGGCTGGATGCAACAGAAGCATTAGACAAAGCAGTGGAGGAGTCGCAGAAATCCTAGGTCCCAAAAAGATATTTTCATGTGGATGATCAACTTTAATCCTGCATTCAGGCAGCGCCCGCACTTGCTGACCTAGCTACCTGGCATCATCGTCGAGGCCTCGGGCACCTCCCTTCAACACAGAGGTGGAATGTGCATTAAGGTCACATGACAGATAGATAGCTCTGAGGTGGTGCACAAGCCGCCAGACTGGGAGGCAGCGATGCGCGAGTTATCCGATATCTCAGTAGGCTTTTGGGTTGGGCGTTCATTCCTGAGGGTTTAGGAGCGAAAGAGCTTATCTATTTTCAGACTTCCCCCAGTGCAAGCGCGAGCCGCGTTTAGACCTCGTGTTTCTTCTTTCTGCAGGTGGATGGCAAGGCCTTCCATGAACAGGAAGATGCCGCAGAGGCCCGACACCACCCTAATTAATTAAGGTCCAACACTCAGTACAGTCGGCATGTTCAACAGCTTCTTTCCTGTGAGGCCCAGCTCCTCAGAACCCGAAACCACCCGAAACGGTGCTATCCACTTCTGATGCTTAGGTCTGTCGTTTGGTATACACTGCTGCATGTGCTTAGAAGGGGCAGCGGGCGGTCCACACGACCTGACCTAAGATTGCTCTCGGCAAACGCAGGCCTCTTCGTCCATGGCCCTATCAGCATGGCTGCGCCAAGAGCCATTGGCCGAGAGGGCCACTGCGGATCCTCCAGAGGGTTTCAGTGAATTTCAGAGAGAAAAGGGAGATCAGATGAGATGCGTCTTTGAAAGAGCTGATCAACAGCACGGATGCCAGCCTTGAAGCATATCTACAGCATCCAGTTCCACTTCCTGTGTCCAGCGGGTGGATAGCCCAGGCACAAGAAGTGCGTTCTGAGCTTTAGCTTGCGCTAGTTGTGCCACCCCGTGAAACGACTCGCTCGGCACAGACACAGGTCGAGAGTCGAGGGTGCCGCAAGCGAGTATCTTTACAGTGCATCATCTAACATCTTTCTTCGATCCTGTCGGGCAGTCGGACAACCCTGGCCATGCCATGCTCTCTTCGCAATATCGGTGAGTTAATGTCATATCATATCTATCATCTGAACCATCTTAAAAATCGCCTCGCAGAACGAGTGATTTCAACCTTACTCTCCCGTGTCTCGCAAAAGACCTAGGAGGCACACCTGATTGGCACCCACAACCCCAACAAAGGTGATGTTCCACCTGAACAGAACCATCCGCGGTAGTGTGTGTAAAGCTTTGCGAGACGCAAGCTTGAGGCTGTCTTCGGCGGTGCACCCGCTGCTGTGGCAGCCGGACATATACCGAGTGCGTCGCCGCACCATGCCAGCCATCCTTGAAAGCCACCTTTCGGCGAGGACCTGGACCACGGATTCTTGCATCGCCTGGTCTGATGCTGAGAGTGTGCCTGCTGGTGGGAACGGGCCGAGCCGAGCCGGATCTCCTGAGGATGTGCCAAGTTCAGGGCTGCCCCTTGGCTCAGAGCGTGGAAGGGATAGGACCCGCTGTCAAAGCAGTCTAGGAAGTCAGGAAGCTGACTCACAGCTCAGGATTCTGTGTGGTGTAACCTTCTCCGGAATGCTTAGCCTTCGCTGGCAGTTAGATACGTACCAGCTGGAGCGGCAGCACCTCGGCTTCGTTATTGCATGGCATAGAGTCTCACATACTCAAAGCAGACTTGGCGTCAATGAATCAAGGCGAATAGCAGCCACAGAAGCTTCCCCGCATGACGAGCAGAACAGTACAGATGACGCAAGTTAACTCTTGCTCTCGCTTCCTCTCTCTGTGTGTCTGTCTGTCTGTTGGCATCTCAATGTATGTATGAATGAGTCAAGAGGACATGGGGATGATAGGAGCACCAGGCACATCCATCGATGTGAAGTATCCATGCATCTTGTGTCGGGCATCATGGATTGTATGGAAGCGAGTTCATGTCCGGACGCAGTGTGTGAGCCACTTGTCGTGGAATGCGGTATCTGTGGTGAAAGGTTGTTGTTTACCCTACGTTCTTTATTGGATTGTGTCTTTTTCAATGGGAAGATGACGGATGTGGATTGCTCGACGGACCTGTTTCAATGGAGTTTTCGCTTCGCACAGGGGGACAAGTTCGCATCCGTCCAATTGCATGAGAGCTTGTTTCCAGGAACAGGACGCCCAGTCAGAACGCTGAAGGTCCTCCCAGGCTACAAGATGCGGATGAGCAACGCCGATCTGACTTAATGTTTTCGTGCATGAAAGAAGGGGTTCTCTGCATGGCAGAAAGAGGTGACAACACGTTCGGCCGCAAACTGAAGTCCGAGAGCGGCCGTCTGCGCTGTGTTCGGAGACACCAGGGATTGTTGGACAATCTGACAAGAGGTATGAGCCTGATGCCTGGCTCAACTGGTGCGTAGGCATAGACCACCTCACCTCGCCTCCGTCGGGACTCACTTGGATCTTGACTTGAATAAGTAAATCGTCTTTCGAACGGTCGACAAATGCCGCGCACGACACCAGAACGCATGGATTACAACGACAACCGCTCACTCCTTGTATAAACTCTTTCCTGGGTTTGATTTACGATTACTCGGCCATCGCGAGCACGTTGCGGGGTACTGTATGGGAGTTGGCAGAGACTCGTTGTTACCACAACATGACATTACATATGACATATAAAACATGACACACATAGGTACCTGGTCGTCTGTCACAACCTGGCTCCTTCTGAGCTGAAGGAGGCAGGACGTTGT